GTGAAGCACCCAGACTGTTCTATAAAATACCAAATTAAAAATGTTTGTGCTTTTTTGACCCTGGCCCTTGGTTTTTTCCTATCCTATACTGACTTCTTTCTCTAAAGTATGGAATGATTATTGATGACAATAATTAATTTACTATTTTTTTCTCTTAAAGAATCGTCTAGAGTCATTAAGAAAACTCAAAGCATCCTTACAAGGCGATGTTCAAAAATACCAGGCATACATGAGCAATTTGGAGTCTCATTCAGCCATTCTTGATCAGAAATTGAATGGTCTCAGTGAAGAAATTGCTAGAGTAGGTAAGCACAGCTAATGCTAAAAGATGGGATATGGACCTGGGTGGGGTTTGTCACATATAAAAACCTCCTTTGTTACCCATATCTTTTTTTCTTCTATGGTAAATGCCTATAGCAGGCTACCACATTTGCAGTGCCTACTTGTTCTTGTAAGAATTTTTTTTTTTAACCTTGAAATCCTACAACCATTGTTTATTATGCAGGTGAACCCCAGCCCACATGACAGGCTTATTAGTAAGATTTCTGGTAGCAAGCTCGGGCACCAGGGCCTCCAAACTTCTTGGATTCACAGTGACAGGGATCAGCTACAAGCAGAGTCTGGTCATACTGGATGAGGATGTCTTTAATCTCCTTCTTAGAAGCCTCGTCCACATATTTCTTTGTCACCCTCAGTAGAGTGCTATGGCATCACAGCTCACAGCAACCTAAACTCTTGGGCTTAAGTGATATCCTTGCCTTGGCCTCCCAAGTAGCTGGGACTACAGGCGCCCACCATAACACCCGGCTGTTTTTAGAGACAAGGTCTTGCACTGGCTCAGGCTGGTCTCGAACTCCTGAGCTCAGGCAGTCCACCGGCCTCAGCCTCCCAGAGTGCTAGAATTACAGGCATGAGTCACTGTGCCCGGCCTTATATATTTTTTTGTTTGTTTGTTTGAGATAGAGTCTCACTTTGTCACTCTCTGTAGAGTATGGTGGTGTCATAGCTCA